CGAAACTCGTCTGCCTACCATCTCCACCTTGCAAATATTTAAGACATGGTTTCTGTATAGGAAGATTTATATACTTCACTGACAGTACATCACTTTTTTAAAGATTTAGTATTTTGGGTGAGGTGTGAAGGGAAAAGGAGTTTTATTACTATACAGAAAAAGAGCTTAACCTTTTCAGAAGTGGTGGGACTTTGGAATTAATAGCTATAAGCTGTACAGCAGTACATTTAAAGAAGAACATCAATATCATTCCACCTGGGGTGCCACTCTAAACCTGGAGTGAGATTATCCAAGATTGGAGACACAATTAAATAGAACCCTGGTATAGGAACAGTCTTGAAGATTGGCTTTGGTGTAATAGAATCCAACTTATTCTTCTAATTAATGACTGTATTCAGTAATTCAGGAACCTGTATATTTCTCTTCTGTTCAGTGATTTGTGTGGTAATTCTTTTTGCTGATGCCCATGTTCACCAGTTTCTGTAAGAAATGATTTTGCTTGACTTCTTTTTGCACTTGCTATTTTTTTCCATTGATCTTTCATGTGCCATAGCCCTGGAATTATTAATCCAGAAAGTAAGATGCCCCTTAATATCCTTACTACCTCCAACTTAGCATTCTCCCTTTTACCCCTTTTTTGCTCCATTGTTTACAAACTCTGCTTTCCTAGCCTTTCCAGATAGTTCTCTACCATCCTCTTTACAGCACAATACTAAAAATGAGAACTAATAGATTGATTGTGGTCTAAAGTTCCTCAGAGACAAGTGGATGGAATTCTTTCTTCTGCCATCTCATACATCTCGGCATGCTCTGTTTTTTGTTTGTTTGTTTGTTAAGCACAGCTCTATTTTGCACTGTGGATTTCCAGGGTCTGTGTCTGTGATGGGATATAGCAGTAGTCTGGAAAGGGTTAAGGGATGCCTGACAATCATGTGGCTGGTTCCTGTAGTTAGGTCAATTTACGGTTTATGTATTCATGTGTGCAGTCTAGAACAGTGAGAGGTTATGTCACCACCTGTCTTGTAACCCTGGGTGCCTCAGATGTTCTGTGCTTTGGCTCATAGTTTGGACACTGACAGCCAGCAGCCAAGCAAGCACTGACTGTCTGTGTGTTAAGCAGCTCTGATTCAGCGACTGATTCCAGCAGCCTACTCGTTACAGCCCAGCCACATCCTGGAATCTATCATCTTTGGTTACACCTAGCAAGATGACCTCAACATTCCCCAATCCCAGATTATCCCAAAACACTGTGCTCTGCAATGTCCAACACTTTCCTGGACCATTCAGAGGGATGATAAGATTTGTTTGCTCCTCTGAAGAGACAAAATATACAGTTTATCACTTTCACTGGAGTTAGTAACCACTTTGATTCAAACACAGCATAGGGCTGGTTTAGATTAAAAGTAAAACAGGTTTATTAACAAAAGGAGATAGGATTTTAAGTGATACCAAATAGGAGGAATAAAGTTAGAGAAACAAACAAAAAAAAGTAAAAATATGCTTTCTAATGTTAACATTTTAAGAAGCTATTGTCTACGTATTGGGTAAGTTTCTTGCCACACATTTCTTCCAGCAAGATGACTGAGAACCCTTTTGGTCAGGATCTCTCCCCAAATACAAAGTGTCTTCTTAGGGGGAAGATAACTGGGGTTCTTTTATAGTTCAATGAATCTTTGAAATGGATTCTTTTGAAGGTTACTCCACAAAATAAAGTTCATTCAAGCTATGATGAAGGAGACATGGGATCTGGTGGTGAAGGAAGTTCTATGGTAGTTTCTTCTCCCACTGGTATTTGCTAAAATTCAAATTGATCTGTTCCTGCTCTCTCCAATGCAAATGAATGGCCACTTGACATGTGATTGCTAATCAACTCTGGCAGCTGGCTGGGAGCATTGGCTTGTCCTTTGTGTGGGAGAAACCTGTTTACTCCTTCCCCAGTCTTTTCTGGTAAACATATTTTAATTCTATATTTCCTTCATATTTGTATGGTCGCTTGGGCATTTACTGCAAGAATATTAATGATATCTGTGTTATTAGTTTTCCAATGGTACTTTACACGATGCATATCAAATACAGTTTATGACACTAACGAATAGGGATACACTGAACTGATCAGGCCAGCTGAAACTCATTACCAGATACCAGTGAGCCCTTTGCCCTCTTGCACTGGGATGCTGTTAGGGTCACACCATGTAACCAATTTGACTCCGCTTTGCAGTTATCCCTTTCTAATGATGCGAGGGCCTCCATTCTGAAGAGCAGTGTCAGTTCAAGAGGGCTGCTTTTACAGAATACGTTGAATCACTATGTGTTCACTTAAGAGGACTAAGTTTGTTCTCTCATTTCATTTTTTCCCTTAATCTAATATTAAAGTTATTCAGACTGAAAGTATATAGTTGATCGGCAGATGAAGAAAAACAGAACTCCAGTGAGTCAATAAGCAGCAGGTGGCATGGGACTTCTCTGATTACTGCCAAATACTTCCTGGCAGCACAAGTCCAAAGAGGTAAAGATTAGAGCTGGTCGAGAAATTTTCAATAAAGCATCTTGTCATTGAAAAATGCTGATTCATCAAAACAAACAGTTTGCAGGAAAGGGTCAGCTTTGAAAATTGATTTAAAGGAGTTCTTTTTTCAGGTTAAAATAACTTTGTTCTGAAATTTAAGTTAATTTGTGGTAAAAATAAATGTACAAAAATTAAAGGTCAAAATTGAAACGAAATATTGACCCAACCTGAAGTTATTTTGTTTTCGGGGGTTTTTTTTCCCCATTTGTGAAAATTTGAGATTTTTATTTTTCACCCCAATTTGGGATACGTTTTTTTTCTTTTCAAGTCTCAAATTCTCATGAGATGGGAAAACAGCTTCCCAACAGCTAGTGGGGTGGCATCCTATGTCCATGACACCCTTTTCTAAACTCTTCAGATGACGTTGGTAAGGGCATAATCTGAAGTTAATTGAAGTCAATGGAAGGACTCCCGTTGGCTTCCATGGGGTTTAGATACACAACCTTATGAAACTGGAAATTAAGCAGTAGCTGGGAGTCAGGTGACTCAATTCACCTGCCCAGTTCACACAGTACTGGTAGCCTGAGACACTCTCTACTCTAAATGTATACCTATGTGGGAAGATCTGAGAGCTCATTTCTGAAAAAACCCTCTATTCTTTAAATTCAGACAAACGCATACACAAAGAAGATAGTTATGGAAAATAGCCTGCTCCCACAGAAATAATTAGGTCTGGTTGATAAGACACAGCATTGCTTGGTGAAAGTGCTTGCCACACTTGTACTTGCACTGATTTTGCACAGCACCTCAGTGAGCTAGCTATTGTGTTTCTCTGGTCATACATGTTAATCTCACCCATTGCACAGAAAATAATAAAGCGATGTAGCACCACTTGACACCAAGTTGCTTAAATAACAAGAAAAGAGCATCTCAACAAACAGTCTATATTTGCAGTGCATTATAAATGGTATTGTTTGCTCAGGCATCCTTTTAAAGATGGTTTTCAAAATATCAAAGGGCTACTTAGCACATAGCTTATTAGTGATCCACTCTAGGCTGCAGTGTTGTATGTTAAGTAAGGTAATGCAATGCAGCTGGATTAATTAAACAAATTGAAAAGAAGGAATAACGTGGTAATAACTCCATGGTAATATACTTGTTCTTGACAAGGAATATTGATTACTGGGGTGTTTCACATTTGTTATGCACTAATGCACTGAACAAAAAGTAACAGCTCTGAAGTAATTACATTGCAATTGACAGTATATTCATCTGTGTTTTGGGTTATTTCACTGCACTGGTATTTTCATAAATTACAGCATGTCACTTTAGGTGTACATAAAAGTTAAATCATTTATAGCTACAACTGATTATTAAAAATGAGAACGTGGGGAATCTTTCATAGAATTTGGGATACAAGCTTCCGTGCAACTTTTGTACAACAGTAAATTACTAAAAGCAAAGGATTTTTGGTTTGGTTGCTGATGGTTTTTCAAGTGAATTGACTGCCAATTTGAATTCCTCCTTTTACCACAGAACAGAAACAGGGAAGAGCAGTGCACCTGCAATCCTACACTATGATGCTTTGCAAATGTGCTTCATGCTAACCTGAACGGACCACTTCTAATGGTGAAAAAGTAGCTTGCTCTCCATCGCCCATTCAGCCCCTCGCTTCTCTGATGAGATCACCAAGGAGGGTGAAAATCAGTGTCCATTCAGATAGCCATATCTGTGACACACTCAGAACTAAACTGAAATTAGTTCAGCTAATTTACATAGGTGACTTAACAGTCAACTCATAACTTCCATTCATTATGCTCACCTGAGCCAGAATGGAACTGGTGACCTAAGGATGAAACACTCCTATATCCCACTACCAATCCTGAACTATCCAGCCACTTGGCATATTTTAGTACATGTATTCCATCCAAGCAGGGGGTAGGAAGAGGATACTCTAAAAGCCTTCTTTTTCTGTTGGAAGGAAACTAACACATTATTTTAAATGTATGAGCATCTTAAGATCTAAGCGAACATATTCGGTTAGTACTTAATTAGTGGATCAATGAGCTTACAGCCAGGAAAATGAACCCTGAATTCGTAGGTGAAGGCCACTTGGGTTGCTTGTGCTGCTGCTTTGTCCTTTTTTTAACTGAAGCCCCAGATAATAAAAGACATGATGGATATATTGTTCAAGTTAGTGTGCTACAGATCAACTGATGTAATGACTCAGATACCTTCCTTCCTAGAACATTTCAGTGAAGTGATTATATCAGCCATTTAAGGAAATATGCTAAGTTATGGTTCTGATAAGAATGGCCATACTGGGTCAGACCAAAGGTCCATATAGCGCAATATCCTGTCTTCCGACAGTGGCCAATGCCAGTTGCCCCAGAGGGAATGAACAGAGCAGGTAATCATCCCTTGTTGCCCATTCCCAGTTTCTGACAAACAGAGGCTAGGGACACCATCCCTTCCCATCCTGGCTAATAGCCATTGATGGACCTATCCTCCATGAACTTATCTAGTTCTTTTTTGAACCCTGTTATAGTCTTGGCCTTCACAACATCCTCTGGCAAGAAGTTCCACAGGTTGACTGTGCTGTGTATAAATCTACTCAATAGGGAAAAAATAACCTTTGCAGAGAATTGACATTGTTAAAAACAAATCAAATGAGAAATTTTTGTAAGCAGTTGCTCAGTAGGTAAAGGCAAACCAGCAGAGGGAGGTGGGGGAAAAGCACATTACACCACTATCCAACCAAAGCTGGCCCAGACTGCACTTCAGCTCACAACACTGTCTCCCTGAAGTTCCTGGTGTGTCTTTCGCTGAAGTCATTTCCCCACTACATTATACTCAAGAACTACAAACTGTGACTCAGCCTCCAAAACATGGTTCTCATTGATAGACTTCAATTGTGAGTTTTTATGTGACATATTTGATATCTTGAACTACTGTGTGTGTGTGTGTGTGTGTGTGTAAGTAAAACTTACAGAGCCTGCGGTTCTGCTGCGGAAGATCTACGTGTCGCCACTCACCTATCCTTCAGCCTCAGCTGCACTATTCAATGCCACTTGATTACCTTAAAGTGACAGCTTTCTCCTACAGAATTTGGCATTGCTGATAGTACTTGAAGAAGGAAATAATCTTGTAATTAAGACAGTAGATATGCTAAAGAAAATTCTCTCAAATGACAATTTTATCACCCTCTCCCCATCCAATAAAGTTTTCAGTTTAATGATGGGCAAATCTGAAATGGTTTGGCGTTTCTATTTGCACAAGTTTAGATGTTGATCCAAACACTACCCAGATCTCTGGCATCCGCAAAATTAGGCTGGGAATATTGGGCACGGTATTCTACTCTTTATCCTCTGTTACAGTCAATGAAAGTTTCATGTGCATAACTTGCAAGCATAATTTGGTTCAATGTTAGGAGAGAGTTTCAGGTGAGGTTTTTGGGGCTTTTCTGATTCTGGTTGGCCCAGCACTAGTGCAGGAACAACATTTTTGTTATATTTTAGATACTCTGTCAAGAAGTGCAGACACAAGTAAATGTTCAGATAACTATTAAGTTATTCATCTTTTGTGAACCCCAGAAAAAACTTGAATCAGCTTTGAGCAAAGGTTTGGGATATTTTTATTTTATTTTATACCCATCTGTTCACCCATCCCCAATTTAATTAATCACAACAAAATACAAATTGGGTAATCAGCTTCTAAGACATCACATTATAGGTAGTTCTATGCAACCTGCACCCTCAGATCAGTGTTATCCCCATGAGCTCATGGTGGCTGAGTACTAAGAATAAAATGTTATATTTACCCATAAATGCCACGAATGAATCAAGATAGTATGATCTGATGCAAATGAGGAAAGGTAATTATATCAGAGTGGATGAATAGGGGTCCTGCAATGCACTTTTCTATTGGAACTATGTAAAAGACCTATTTTTTTTCCTGATGGCCACCTCTCTCTGTGTGCCATTCTTAGTGTTCCCTGGGGTATATTTTTGTAACAATGTCAATTCTTTGCAACCATCATTTTTTCCCCTATTGAGTAGATTTAATAGTCAATTTTGAGAACAGTTTAACTCTCCATTAACTGTTGCTAATTTACAAGGGAACTCCTGTAGAAGAAAAACATAATTTAATGCAACATCAACCTGGACCACTAAACAAAGCCAGTAGTAGCAGCATGGCTATGGGGAACAGCAAACAAGGGTGACTGCAAGTATTTTTTTTAATAAATTCAATTAAACAGATAAATTTAGCTTCCCTAAAATGGTGGTATTTTTTCCTTCATTTTGAGACGGTATTGAGAGTAAAACATGTCCCCATTGAGGGACACAGGCCAGATTGTACAAACAAGCCACTCAAACCTTGCCCCAGAAAGTTTACAAGCAAGGATTTGAGAGTAGGCATTTGGTGAATACGTAAACAAAGTGGGGGTGAAAATGCCTCTCAGATCATCTGAACTCAAGACCTCTGGATCTAAAAGCATGGGCCTCTATCACCTGTGAGCTAGAGGAGCATCTAACAGTAAAGGTAGCTGCAGTCCCATACATGGACTTCCAATATGGAACTGTGGAGATATGCAAAGGTCAAAGTGAGTAGTGGCTGTCTAGGACCCAACCCCAAAGCTGCTCTACACCTTCTACAACATGCTAAGATGGATCAGGATGGCACAGATCTTTACCCCAAAATGAACCTCAGTCTTCGAAATCCCTGTGACCTTGACCAATGGCTGCGTCCTAGAGAGCCTCTTTACCCCATACATGTTCAATTGCAGTTTAAGATTTTTCAGTGAGTTTGCATGACTCTCCAATAAAGGAGAGTGGGTCAAAGGAAGCATGCTTGTCAAAAAAGCATGCTCCCACTTCCAAATTGTTCGAGCATGGCCAACAGTCACTTCTGCAAGGCTGATATTTTTGTTCATTTTTTTCCCCTTAATTCTCTTGCTCCAATGAGCTACTACACAAATGAACATGCTGTCAAAGTGATGGGAAGCTGTACTTCTGAAACCTCTTGTATTCCATTAGCAGAGTATATCATTGGAAAGACAGCCAGCAGGAAGATAAAACTAGGCAATATGAAAGATATGCCAAGGTAAGACCAATTAGATGCAGATTTTACAACTTGAACACACTGTTCTGTTTACTTTTTTTCTCTCCAATATTGCAGCAACCTAGAGTTCAAGCCACATGTTTATGATTGCTACCATCCCTATGCTAAATAATCCTGCTGAAAGCAACATGCTTTGAGGATGATGATGGTATGAGAAAGGTTTGGGAGGAATAATACGTCCCTGCTCACACCCAGCTCCATTCTACCGATTGGCTTCCTATGGCCAACAGAGGTAAAGCAAGTCTCCATAAGTGTTACTTTGCACAGCAAACTAGAGCATTCATATTTTAAAAAAGCAGCTGATGCCATGTGGAAAACCTTGAAAATGTAATATTTAGAAACAATTCTGCATTATCGTTTGTATTTTTCTTCCTTTTTCCTCTAGGGCTTGGAGCAATTTACATTTCAGGAAAATATAACGTGTTCAATATCATCTCTATAATATTTTACATGTTGCACTCACTATATTATTTATATTGCAGTCACAGTTGGAAGACTCTTTGAGGACTCAGGGCCCCGTTCTGCTAGGCATTGTACAAACCTAACAAAAATATGATCCCTGCCCAAAAGAGCTTACAATACAGCAGTTATTATAACATATAGCGGTTTGTCTCCAAGTGGCTCAAAGCCACTGACAGATGTTAATTAAGCCTTACGACATGCCCGTGAGGTAGGTAAGTACTGAAAGAGATGCACAGAGACTTGCCCAAGCTCACACAGTACATCAGTGGCAGAGCTGGGACTAAACACCTTAGGTCACTGCCTGGCCCCAACTGTTTGCCCTATACATTCCGGCGGAGCATAGCAACCTTCGCCAGTCACCTTATTATTCCCTCATGAGGTGACTCTCCAGGGGTAGGACTCATGTAACAACTGTGTCACCCTCTTCTTGGCCCCCAGGGAATATAGCCAGGGTCCACGGAATCCTGGCTGCCAGAATGGCCCGTTAGGGCCATGGACTCACAAGAGTAAGTTAGGCTACCTTTGAGTCTGTTTGAACTAACATCAGGGAGTGAGCTGATCCCCAGCCAGACCCAGAATCAAGAAAGTTTAAGGCCACCTTTGCCCGTACTCCTCTTATCTGGCACTGAGCACAGCTGGGCCAGACTATAGAAACCAAAGTCTCAGACTTCTGCTAGACAAAAACATTTGCGAATGTGTTTCCCTTAAGAGATCACCTGCTCTGTTTCCACTGTACCTGCAATCCCACTCTTTTGATTGTGATATGACATTTGTTTCCACAGCAACCAATTGGGAAAAGTGCTATAGAAAATATAAACTACAGAGGCAGAGTTGTTTCGAAATGGAATGTTTTTCTAAAAGTTTCCCCAAGGCTGTCAGCAACTCTAAGCATTTTAATGTTCTTCATTTCTTATGTGGAGGAGTGACAAACAATTCTAACCTGCAAAGCAAAATACAAAAGAGAATGAAAAGAAAATTGAATTTCTAACATACACAGACACAACAAATTGTCAGATACAGGATAGAATTCAAAGTACCCATAAGGATTAAACATACCATTCTCAATTGCTTATTTCTCAGCTATTATGTTATTAAAGGTTATCCTATTACCTGGAGAAATATTTGTATGTTAAAATTATAAACAAGTGCATCACACTTCCCTATAGGATATGGAATCTTCGCAAACAAACAACCCATGATGTTGCCAATGAGGGTATTTATTCTCTCGCGTATATAGGGGAACCCTTTCATACCTCAGCAATGGAAATTCTTCAAGAAACCACTCATTATTTGTATTACAGTAGCACCTTAAGTACCACGTCAGGACTGGGGGAATCCACCGATTCATAGATTGTTAAGGCCAGAAGTGACCATTTATGATCTTTTAATCTGATCTTCCGTATAACAAACCACAGAATTTCACCCAGTAATTCCTTCATCAAAGCCAACAGCTTGTAGCTGAACAAGGCATATCATTTGGAAAAAATCTTGATTCAGCTCCCAGTCCAGGAAAACATGCATCTGCTTAAATACACCACTATTGTGGGCAGCCCTTAAGCATGAGGTTTAAAGGCTGTCCTGATGGGGGATGCTTTCCCAAATTGGAACCTGAAAGACTTCAAGGGATGGAGAATCCATCAGATCTTTTGTTAAACTGTTCCAATGATTAATTATGCCACTGTAAACTCATTGGGTTATGTGCTGTACAAACCCATTGGAAGACCGTCCCTGCCACAAAGAGCTTATGTTTTGTCTTTAAATTAGGCTGTAAGAAGTGAGTGTAAAAAACAAGAGGAAGGAAGAGGGAGGAGGATGAAGGTCATAGCAATATGAACTCTTTTTTACATTGGTTAGCTATGTGCACAACTTGACAAATCTGGATTATTTTGATTTAAAAAAAATAAAGAAATGTGAATATTACTCACTGTCCCTCCACCTAGACATTAGCAACTAGCAATTTCTTGTATGCATCAAGATAAAAGTGGGTCTTGCAGAGGTAGTTGAAGGAAGAGAGAGTAATGGCTTTATGGACTAGTTTAGGGAGTAAGGCCCAGATCCCAAAGGTATTTAGGCACCTAACTCCCATTGATTTCAGTGGGAGATCGGTGCCTAAATAGCTCAGGCCCAGATCCCAAATGTATTCTATTTTGTTCTTCTGTAGCTTTCCAATCTCAATAGACTTCATAGACAAACAAACTGAGCGTCATAATGCCTGTATGTGGCAAGCAAGCACTGCTATCCCCATTGTAATGATGGGGAAACTAAGGGCATGTCTACACTTACTGGGGATCAACGCCACTACGATCGATGCACTGGGGGTCAATTTAGCAGGTCTAGTGAAGACCCAGTAAATCGACCGCAGAAGAGTAAGGTAAGTCCATGGGAGAGCAACTCCCATCAACGCAGTGCAGTATAGACACTGCAGTAAGTCGACCTAAGCTATGTCAACTCCACCTACGTTATTCACGTAGCTGGAGTTGCATAACTTAGGTCAACTTACCCCAGTAGTGTAGACAAGGGCTAACAAATAGAGGATACATCTACAGAGTGAGCAGCAGCGAGTCTCAGAGCCCATGCCAACAGACTTGGGCTTCACTATCACACTAAAAACAGCTGTGAGGATGTTGCATCTCCCTTCCTAGGCTTCACAGCCTGAACTCCAGCCTCAGTTGCAACGTCTACCCAGCTATTTTTAGCATGAGACTAACTTTGTCGACCTGGGCTCTGAGCAGGGGCAGCTCCAGGCACCAGCGCACCAAGCGCATGCCTGGGGCAGCAAGCCGCGGCAGGCGGCCTGCCGGTCGCTGTGGGGGCAGCAGTCAGGGAGCCTTTGGCGGTTTGCCTGAAGGAGGTCCGCCGGTCCCACAGCTTCGGCGGCAATTCGGGGGCAGGTATGCTGAAGCCGTGGGACCGGTGGACCTCCTGCAGGCATGCCGCCGAATCCGCGTTACCAGCTGGACCTCCTGCAGGCGCGCCACTGAAAGCTGCCTGACTGCCGTGCTTGGGGCGGCAAGATACATAGAGCCGCCCCTGCCTCTGAGACTCTCTGCTGTGGGCTGCCAGTAGCTATGTAGATGTACCAAGAGAGGTGAAGAGAACTGTGGTGCAGAGAGGCTAGTCAAAGAGTGTGTTTGAGGCTATGGGTCAAAATAGAATGAAGATCGCCAAGACCATACATGTTTTCAAAAGAAAGCTGACTAAATTGCCTTTCTTCTTTCTCTTCACAGGATGTCACACCTCACTGCATGCAAGCCATAGAGATTACAGAGAGCTGAACCTAAAGTCTGATACTAGAAAAGTGTCAACCTGATCCTGCATGCATGTCTCACATGGGGAAAAATAATTCCCAGGTTAAGGGTCTGGAGGACTGGACATCAATTGCTGTAGTAAGCTACATCTTTTTCTGAAAGGAGGCTGATAATGTAATTCAAGAATGGAGGAGAATTAAGTTTAAGAACTGGGAACTTAATGATTATATATAACGTATATTTACACCGCTCAGGAATATTTTGATATTCTATTTATTTTTAAAAATCATTTTAAAGTACTTTTCTTCTTGCAGTGATGTCACTGTGGTTGGACTAATAGGTACTGATTTGAGAATATGGAAATAGCAACAGACCATGGTTTGAATTCTGAGGCTCTATGAATCAGCAATATAAATACATAATATCTCCTATCTAACGATCTATCCATCTCTCTCTCTCTCTCTCGTATGTGTATATTTCCCTCAGAAAGACAAAAACCTTTCATAGAAATAAGCAAACAAGGAATTCAACTTTCCTATATCCCAAACTCTTTAGTTCTGCCAAGTTCACCCTTATTGCATTTCCAGACCAATTGAGAGAAAGTTGGTGGTACTGAAAAATACTTAAGACCTGAAAGCATGGAAGGATGATAAGCAATAGGAAAGCATTGAGCTTATGCAAGGCAGTGTCTGCTTCACAAATTTGATGTGAATTATTATTAGTCCAGGCCTCTCTGTCAATGCCAGAATAGAAATTAGGGACCATGGATAGCACCAAATGCAGCTAGAGGACAATACTTTATATTTCTTAGGCTCTTGTGCCTGTCAAGGTGAGGGAGGCAGTGTTCAGAAATGAAACACTTTATCTTCCTCTCCAGACCATTTGGGTGACCAGGGTCACAGTGGTAATAATGAACACTGGATTTCTGAGGTTGTATGCCACCTGTTTTATACCACAATAGCAACTTGAACCTACTACTCTTAGCAGCTTTAATACTGGAAATGGTGACAGTAATATATGGCATGATGCTGAGACAAAGTATGCTGGTAGTTTCTCTAAAACTAGTTTTTAAACTATTGTACCCTCAAGTGAGAGGACTTTTTCAGTGTTGCCAACCCCAAGCATTCTAGAGTCAAGTCAGACCTGCAAAAACAAAAACAAAAATCACTGACAAGAAACCAAACATTTTGTTTCATTTTCTGGTGGTTTAATTTTTATTTAAATAACATTGTAGTAAGATTCTAAATTAAAAAGGAATTTTGAATAAAAAATTATTTCTACATTTTTGCAACAAAATGTTTCAATATATTTTTATTTGGGGGTGGGGATTTCTTTTTCTCCTCTTCTCTCCTCCCTGACTGACACAATTTGGTCAATTTGACCTGAATTTGCAAAATGTTTTGGTCAATTTGAGTCTATACTTGTGAGCAAAAAACATTTTGGCTAAAAACGTTTGCCCAGCCCTCCTAACAACATTAACTACACCTCTACCTCGATATAATGCTGTCCTCCAGAGCCAAAAAAATCTTACTGCGTTATAGGTGAAACCGTGTTATATCGAACTTGCTTTAATCCGCTGGAGTGCGCAGCCCTGCCCCCCCGGAGCACTGCTTTACCGCGTTATATCCAAATTCGTGTTATATTGGGTCACGTTATATCGGGGTAGAGGTGTATAAGGTTATTTTTGAAATATAGTAGTGTCTAGAGGTCCTGTAATTGAATGTACTCACCACCAGAGCACTCCCTTGGGTCAGAATACCCCATTGCATGAGGTCTTATTTTCCAGCATCCTCTTGCAGGCTGGGTCTGTAACAGTTTGTGGCTTCCCTGGCCTGGCCCCTCTGGGCAGGTCAGCTCTCACTCCAGTCCCCTTTTGGGGGTTAACAGAAAACAAATTAAATCTCAACTCAACATAGCCATGGGGACACTGAAGTCCATGATATTTACACTCGTCCTTCCTAGATATTCAAGACTGGTGTTGTTAAGGTTAAGCTCTGACTGGGCCAGGTTCCTTGGGGTAGGGTAGGAAAAGTGTTCCACCCCTGTCCTAACTGAAGTTAGCATGGATTCCTGATAGAAGCAGCCAGCCCTTTTTATCTGGCCTGCTTAGCCCTGATTAGCCTCTGCCTATTTCCACCTCTTCTAGTTACTGGTTCCACCAACAGCTGACTCTGGGAGCCTTTCTAGGCAACTCTGGAGGTCCAAACTTGCTGCCCTTCTTTTCTTAAAGGGCCACTTAGTAGGACCTATACAAAAGCATAGTGAGAGACAGTCCCTTCTCCAAAGAGTTTACAAGCTAAATAAAGAAGACAGATAGAAATGCGGGAAACAGAAGCATAGGGAGGTGAAATGAGTTGCCAAAAGTTATACAGCAGGTCAGTGGCAGTATGAGGACTAGAACCATACTCTCCTCACTGCCTGTACAGTGCCCTAATCACTGGGACATACTGCAGTCCAAATTGGTGCAGGCTCTTTATTCATATGGTGACCGTGGAGCTGTGCCCCTTCAAACTACAGATAAGATAGAAGGATATTTTAGAGTGGGTCATCCAATCTCTCCTTCTGTAGTACATATTTGGTGAAAGATTATTAACTCACTATCAGCCAGTATTTTGGATTTGTTTGTTTGTTTGGCCAGGAGCTGTATATTAGGGATAACTGGTGGCTGTTAGGCCACAATACTGCTGGAAAGTATGCAGGAATCTGTACGGCAACAAGTCTGGAGGAATTCCAGCTGCCACTGTCAAAACTCCTGCTGGTGTACCCAGGGAGTGCATGCTAAAGAAGCAGTGCTGCCATCCGTGTAGAAAGTACATCATTCACTCTTCCTCCAGCTGGGTGGCTCTGATATCTGTCTTGGGTTTTCTGGAGAGTCCATCACCACAAAATCCAAATACAGGTCTGTCTCATCTTACGCTGGGGTTACGTTCCGCGGTCAGCGCGTAAAGCGAAAACCATGTACAGTCAAAATTACATTGAGTGTAATGGCGGGCGGAATCGCCCGCACTACAGGAACAGTATTTAAATTGTTATTTTTCTCTTTTTTTTTGGTTTTGTTTTTGCCGACTGCGTAAAGCTGAATTCGCGCATGTTAAATGCGCATAAGATGCGACAGACCTGTACTTCCCAGGTAAATTCGAACAGCAGAAGGAAGTCGCTTCTGGACTTCATAGAGTTTTCTGTTTCTTTTTGCTTCTCTGGTTAGAGGTTGGTTTTTTTAGAGGTGTAATAAATTTTTTACTTTTAAAACATTATTTTATTATGTTGGGATAACTTTGTGACTGAGGAGATTCTAAGAATGCTTGATAGGTGGTCATTTGATTTTGGATTAAATTTAACCTGCTCTTGACGTTCATGTCATAACTATATCCACTCATTGCTTTTATCCTACAACTTCCTACTTCCCCCCCCCCACCCCTTTGGGGCAATTAGAGTAACACTAACAAGAAATGGTGCCTGTAATGCCAAACAGGTGGGTGCCTAGTCCACTCTCAGGCCCTTATCTGGACCCTTAACAAGCAGAGAATGGTTATTGCTGTAGGTATCTTCATTTCCATCCGTTAACATAAATGGTGCTTCAGAAGTGTTTTATGGATCTAAATGATGAGAACTTGTATGGTGTTGAAAATTTATTTCCTAGTGACTTATAATTATATATTTTTAAAAGGGGAGGGGCAGGAATAATTAGGATATGACAAATTGCTCATCAGTAACACCCCACGCTAATGAGACATTTCACCAGGCAGTTAATTATACCAGAGTGATTGGTGCATCTATGCTCACACTGACACATCTGCAACATAAAAATCAGGCGGTTGGAAAAATCCAATGCTGTTGCTAGACTTTACCAAATCAATTTAGCATCACAATACATTTCAATGTCTCAGCTAAAGAATTTGGGCAGTTTAAATTAATTGGAGATAAGAGTATTCATCAAAACATCTTTAATTTGCCACATCCATCTTTGAAAGGATTTTTTTTTATTTTTAATAAATGATGCAGCATTGAAAAATAGTCACTTCTTCCCCTTAATCAGAGCAGAAAGTAGGCTATTGTTCTGCATCCCATAAAACACAAAAATAACTCTTTATATTAAAAACTTGTGCTTGATTCACTTTACTGACAATTTTGTAAATCACCAGAGTTGGATTTCATGTTGTATCAACTAAGGATGCCATGACAACTGGGATAGCAATTAATATCTTGAGCTCTGGGTCAAAGTGGGGTTTCTGCTTCCCTTTCAATCTCATTCATCATTATTTTTTCCATGGATTCACCATTGCCATGTTTTGATTTTTTCCTTTTGAAGGCCCTGTATTGAGATGACCATACTGGCAAAGAAGAATTGGATGTGGTTCTGTTTGCTGCCTAGCAATACTAATCCTGCATTTGCCAATGAGTTCATTGTAGAGCAGGGGTCGGCAACCTCTGGCATGTGTGCCAAAGGCAGCATGCAAGATGATTTTGAGTGGCACTCACGCTGCCCAGGTACTGACCGCCAGCCCCCTGCCACCCAGGGTCCCGTCCGCCAGCCCCACTCAGCCCACTGCCAGCCCCGGGTCCCGGCCACTGGTCCCGGGGGCTCTGTTGCTGGTCTGGGGTCCTACTGCCGGCCCCCTGCCACACGGGGCCCCATCCTCCAGCTCCACTCGGCCCGCTGCCACACCAGGTCCCAGCCACCGGTCCTGGGTGCTCTACTGCCATCCTGGGGTCCCAGCCATCGGCCCGGGGCTCTGCAGGCACTCCCAGCTGTGGCCCACTGAACCCAGCCTGGGGCAGTGAGGGGTGCAGACAGGGGCAAGAGGGGGCACAGCTCACCACCTCCACCTTAAAAATTGTTCCAGCGCAACTGTACTGGGATATTTTTAAGTCCTGATTTGCTGCTTACATCACAATCATGTCACGCGGCACAGCGCACCGCATTTGACGTCGTGCATGCCGTCTGTCTCTATTTTTTTTTCCCCCCACTCTAAGTTGATGGGTACATTTGACAAAATGTCAGCTCCTAAGAAAGCAAAGTTAGATGTCCGTTCATTTCAGCCTTCTTGGACAGACACATTTGGGTTTATTCAAAAGAAGGACCATGCTGTTTGTACTTTCTGTTATGAAAGTGTTTGTCACGCTTTAAGTGTTCGACGACATTTTCAAATTAAGATCGAGAAAACCTCTCTTGACGAAGCAGACAAGAGTGAATCATCGAAAAGGCAGTAGCAGATATGAGAAGCAAAGCAGTGTTTTTAAATGCTTAAGTGTAAGTAAAAATCAAGGCACAGAAGGAAGTTACAAGATTGCATAGTGCATTGCAAAAAATGGAAAGCCGTTTACAGATGGGGAATATATAAAAAGTTTTTCTCAGCAGTTTGGAGGTTTTTTCAATGATTTGCCAAATAAAGATGCGTATCTAAAATAAAAGAACTGCCTGTCTCTGCCAGAACAGTTGAGAGACATGTAAGTGAAATGGCAGAAAACATAAATGAAA